TACTTTTCTGGAGCCTGGGTAAATGTGTCCTGACTGAATGAATAGCTGCTATTGATTTATGAAATACTACTGAGGGGGTCATCTTAGAAAGATTGTGCCAACTGCCTGTATCCTGTTCACTTGTGTATCACTCCAGAAAAATCTTTGAAAAGTTACTAAATATGGAATGTTTGCCATTTTGTGAGAATCTCCTGGTTTCCTGCTGGTGGAATGGATTTGAGTCAGCAACTCATCTGTTCAGTCACTGGGCACGTCCTCTGCTCCATGTATAGCTGTGTGGGGCACTGTGGGAGATTTAGAGAAAGGAACAATCCCTGCCTTCAAGCAGTTCAGGTGGGGGGATAAGCCATGCAAAGTTTCACTGAGAGTAGGCCCTTGGGGAGGGGGCCAGGGCTGGAGCGAGGAGGGTCAGTTCTCATCACTGACGGAAGATGAGCTGACATCGCAGTTCAAAAAGGAACCAGAAGTTCCACACAGTGGTTTTGCAATCGAATATGCTCATGCTTACCAAGCAATTCTGAGGAAAAGGTCAAAAAATGTGTTGGTAGTTTAGTAATTCAGGAGAACAAGTTGTGATGCACTTTGACTGAATTTAATGTTGGAAGCTATACACAGTTTTCCCATTTTTAGGCAACTTTGAACCAGTGCCATGGCGACTTCAGTCAACGGGGCCCACCAGGAGGCGGACCTGTGGTCCTCACATGCTAAGATGCTGGTAGAGCCTCTCAAGGACAGTGACACCGAGGTGAGACTGGCGAGGTTTTCACAAATGTTTTTGTATTGGAGGCCTTTGTTTAAGCTCTAGTTCTGATTTCAAATTAACTGTATTAGGGACAGCCTTACAGTTAGTATAAGCTTGCCAGATTTAGAGGCAGTGGCTAAAAGTACTTTGAGGGCAAATTTATACAATTTCTGAGTTTCTACAAAGTGCTGGGTGCTTTGGAGGAAGTGGAGATGGGAAAGAGTCACTTACAGTTCACCAGGACTGTGTATCTGGACACTTGGAAGCACCTTTGTAACAGAGGTTTTGAGTTATCCTCCCCTTACCTTACATTTCAGTGGATTTTAGTACATCTGCAGTCACTTTTAGAACATTTTTATCTCCTTAGAACTGTGAGCAGTCATCTCATCCTCAAGCTCCTGAACCCTGCACAACCACTAAACAGCTTTCTATCTCTACTTTTTGGGAAAGAATCTTTTTTTTTTTTTTTAAAGGAAGAGTAGCAAAGAATAAGTTTTATGGCAGGAGAAACTTGGTGAAATATAGGGATAAAAATAATAGGATGGTGTAGAAGTAAAAATTATGTGGGATACTTAAAGGTTATTTTCTCTTAAATCATTTTTATTTTCTTTAATTCATTAACTTCTTTTGGTTCTTTCCCAGATGATAAAGCCTTTGAGGAAGATTAGTTCTATTCTTTAAGAGTGACATGAGTTGTCTTAATCTGCTTAGCTGGGTTATAGTCAGCTTCTGAGGGCACATTACAACTCTGTAATAGTGTTTTCTCTCTTTAAAAGGTTATGGATTTGATGGGAGCAAAATTTTAAAGTAAAATGTCCAAATGTCTAGTGTCTGTTTTCTTCTTGTAAGGTTTACAACATCATCAAGAATGAAAGTAACCGGCAGAGGGTTGGACTGGAGCTGATCGCCTCAGAGAACTTCACCAGCCGTGCGGTTTTGGAGGCCCTAGGCTCTTGTTTAAACAACAAATACTCTGAGGGGTACCCGGGCCAGAGGTATGTACATGTCTTCAAAGGCCTGCTTCTGCCTCAGTGGCATAGAGTACTGAATCAGTGCAGGATCTAAACAACCTGAGAATTTCAGAAAACAGCAAGGTTCCCACCTGTGGGATTTCCTTCTGGCTCCTGTCCTCTGATAGAACTTTTATGACTCCCAGCACGAGACACTACTAATGTTCTTGGTACAGCTGTCCTCAAGGGGCACATTGAATAGCCCTCTTCGGGGCTTTCTGGAATAACAGGTCCAGGAATAGGGTTAGGGTTAGGGTTTTGTAACAAGTATTGAGCCTCTGGACTGTTGTCTAGTCTCTGTCTAAAAGAGGTCTGTGTCTCTAAAGGATGCTGCAGAAAGTGGCTGTTACCAGCTGAGTCATCAAGTCTGTATTATAAGTGGCAGGAAAGTAAAAGCTGACCCTAGAGTACTGGAGATTGTTACTGCCTTATAAATGTTGGATTTTTTTTTTTAATTGCTAAGTTGACCAAGTAGAGTTTATTTTAAGAATGTAAGATATTCATTCATTGAATATTTAGATTCAATGTTCATGTAATTCCTCACATCATTAGATAATGTAAAAAAAAAGTGATCATCTTAATAGATAAAATTTACAAGATAGGTTATAAAAAGGAAAAGGTTTATTTCCCTCTCATATATCAGCATAAGTTTTGTCAGTCCAGGACTCATGGTGACTCCAGGCACGGGGGCCCTTCCTGTTTCTTACTGGATATAGCCAGCTCACTGCCACATCACAGGCAGGCCCACAGGAGAAGGGCAGAAATACCTGGAAGGCTCATCCCCTCTCTTAAGAGCCCAGTTAAGAAGAAGTACACAGGACTGCGTTTTGTTTCCCAGCAGACGCAAACTATGTACGTGTGGCTCTTGAATGGTTGCTTTGTTAATAACTATTGCCTAGGACTCTAAATAATATATGGACTTTATTTAGGGCTAAGCTCCAGGTTCTCCAAGAAAGGGAGAATGGATATTGGGTAAAATCAGCTTTAGATCACCTGTTTCTTTTACATGTCAGTATCTAATTCTAACCCATGAGAAAAATAGGCAGAGCTAAAGAATAATATTTCAAACGTGTCTGATAGACAACAGCTATCTAAATCATAGTGACTTTCATATTTATATCTCATTATGATCTGCAGAGTTTCAACATCTGTCTGAAGGAGAAATGTTCATAAATGTCCTTTTGCCTTAATAGAGATAATAATTTGTTTTGATTTAACCTAAACAATTTATCCACACAAATAAATAATATATTTTTTCTCACAAAGACTTTTACTGCTAAGATATTTAAAATTTGTCATAAATAGTATTTGATTCTCTTTAAGTAACTACCCTCCAAATGGTTATTTTTAATGTTGGATTTAAACACACAGTGGCTTTCAGTCAATTGTTTCACCCTGAGAGTTACAGTAAGTTATATTCATTTTTATTTTTTACAATCATTACCAGGCAAAGAAAAGAAATTATAGAATTTAACATAGTTTTTGCTAGCCTGGGTATTTTTGTCCCAAAGGACATAGAAAAAGAAGAGTCACCCTTGGAAAATGAACTGCTATTCTGCCCTGAGATGTTCCTGAACCTCCATGTAGAAAACTGAGAATCAAGTTCAAGGCGTTGTCTTTCTTCTACTTTGAATAACTAACTTTTACATTGTGCCTTGAAGAATTTACCAGGTGTTTTCACAAGTAATATTTTATTTGATCCTCACAGCAGCCTATAGGGCAGCGGTCTCAACCTGTGGGTTCCGACCTTTTTTTTCCATTTGTAACAATGTGGCAAATGGAAGTTTAGGAAGTTTGAGAACCACTGCTATAGGGCAAGTGGTGAGGTCTTCCATATTTTAAAGATGGGGCAGCTGAGAGTTGCTCAAGTTCAGACTTCTCAAAGTTGCACACAGGTAGCAAAGCTGAGACTGGAATCCAGGTGTTCTTACACTGTGGTATAAAAAGAAACAACTATTTGTTCTTTGTCCTTGGTTCCTGGAAATCTCCTAAGTAATTGGCATATCTTTTTTAACTCATTACAAATCCCTTTCTTAATTTTTTTTTTTTTTTTTACTTCTTCCTGTAGTGAGTGATTCTTTTGCCCCCAGTGTAGCTGGGATCACAAGGTCCAGCTGTTTTTTGTTGTTGTTGTAGAGACAGGGTCTCACTCTGGCTCACTCTGCCTCATGCTGGTCTCTCCGCTGGTCTCCAACTCGGCTGAGCTCCGGAGATTCACCTGCCTCAGCCTCCCACAGTGCTGGGACAACAGGTGTAAGCCACCACACCCAGCAACAAATCCCTTTCAAATACCTCTGAGTTTATTCTTACAAGGTGATTCCGGGTGGGGCCCCTGGACAGCTTTAGGATGGAGTCTGGTCTCCAGAACAACCAAACTCATGATTAAAAGGTGAGAACTTTGAGATGCCCACCTTGACTGAGGAGGAGGGGCTTGGAACAAGGTTTGGACAGCTGTGGAGAGCTGAGGCATCCTGCACCCTGGAGGGGGGGCACTAACTGCACTCCCCAC